GTATAGTCATAAATATTAGATAAAAGAAGAATCTTAGTTACAGAAAGCAACAAAAGCTAGCACAGTCTCTTGAGTTTTCATTTTATTAARATAAATTAGTAGTCTTGCTTGGATTCTTAAAAATAATTTCTATCCAGAAGTTAAATATGTTTAAATAAATTGACTGCATACAACTTCCAAAGAAAGAAAACCCCGAAAGATAATGGAGATAATATCTATGGAGAAAGTTCCTTGTTTTTATTCTAGAAGATTAAAAAATATATTTTAAATAARGTACAGTTTCTGTTGATTACTTGATAATAGTTATTATGGTCTGTGTATAAAAAATCGGTTTCTAGAAAAGAAGTCTCTTTTGGTAGGAACTGAAAGCTTTTAGTGGTGGTTAAAAAAAATATCATGAGGCTACATTTCCTAGGAACACTTAAAAATATCTTTGATACATGTAGCAATAACAAAGTATTATTCRAAGTTCGATCATTTCAAGAGAATAGAAATCCATTTTGTTTAGACTGCACTGTTTAAACCTGAAAGGACAAGACTGAACAAGACTCTCATGCCTCTTTTTTAAAAAAAGAACAGTCATAACCTGAAGTGTTGATTGAGCTGTGCACTTATTTCTCCTTGGCTTTAAAGGTGCCCTTCTCTTTGTCTGCAGTGTGTGATAAGGGAAGTGACTTCTCCTTTYTTCTAATCTGTATAAAGACCCTTGRGACTGATTTGATTTGATTTAGGGAAGCTGAGAACAGGAAAGTTTCTGGTACTTCCATTGTCCTTTTCTTACACAATGATTATTAGCAAAGGGCACTACAGAACCCCTTCATGCTGAGGTAAGTGATTGCAAAGGCACTTTGGGTGCCTATACACAAAATTTTGGGTACTATACACAAAATCTCTAAAGTTAAGCAGTTCCATGGGAAATGTACAAAACTGAAGGAGAAGAGATGTTGCTTCCTCTGTATTTCCAACGATTTACAGGGAGCTACATAAAACATCCTGGCTTTGGAATTATGAAATCACATTTATTGTGAGGTGGGGAATACAACCTTTTATAAGGAGRGAAATAGTTCCTTTTCCAACAAAMCCTTTTAGTTAAAAATAGAAATGAAACAGAAATATACCTTAGTAATTACAGTGAAAACTTCTTTAGACCTTGGTTATTATCTTTCTACATATCTTTTAAAGCCAGTCCTAGTACATTCCATACGTGTATTTCATAACCAGTTCTGACCATARGAAATTACTGTGTCTGACATGGTAGATACAAAAAACATATTTCACAACTTACCTTCACTTCTTCTGTCTCCTGCCAGTCCACATCTCCCCCATGGACCAGTCTGGTAGGACAGGGAACAAGAAAACCTCTGCTTCTTGCAGCCTCTGGTGAAGCCAACTTTTTTTAGAGAAGTACCAAAGCCTAATGATGCCATGCCACACCTGGAGAACTGTGTGTGCCCAG